TCTGTGGTGGGGTAAAGCAAGTATGTCACCTGGGGTGGGGAGCAGAGGCCTGAGGGCGGTGACTCCAAGCTGAGTCTGTTACCGCAATAAAGCAGATTGGAGCCGCCTGCTGCAATAGCCAGTTCTGAGACGGGTGAGGTGAGCAGCAAGAGGTTTATTATATATCGATGTATAGGAGACAGAGGGGAATAGATTCCTCCAAAAACCCGTCTCCCCTACTAGAGATCGGCCGAAGGGTTTATAGAGACAGGATTCTGGGTCTTAGAAGTTTGTGTTAGTTTCCCCTTGAGGTGGTCACGTCCCAGATGAATTAAACTTCTACTGATATTCTTGGGGGTTATCTGGCGACATCCTGGTTTTCTTGTCTCAAGATGGGTGCTTTGTTCGGTTTTTGATTCCTAGATCATCACCTGTTTTCCACCCTTCAAGGAGGAACATCGGTAAATCTTAAACTTTTTATAGAGACGGGAACAGGAGGGAAAAACAAGATCATGAGACAGTGCGGGGGTTAGCAATGGGGAGTAGTAATAGTGAGCCGGACCTGTGCAGCCTCTTCCAAGTCCCACCTTGAGCCTGCAAAGGAGGTAAAGGAAGGTCGGTGAGGTATTCCTGGAGACAACCCCCTCCCCCACCCTGCAGGTCCCCCAGCCAGGAAGAACCATCCAGAATGTGCTGTTTGTGCTGGAAGAAGCTACCAGCATTGGAGGGAGAGATCCAGGTGCAGGTGTCCCTGGGGCAACTCATCTGAGGTTGTAACTATGGCTTTGTTGCGGCTGCTTCCTGGCGGTTGGGTTTTGGAGTGAACAGACCTGGTGGAGTCAGAGTGTAATTTGTGCAGCTTGAGAACCTCTGCGAAGGTCAGACTTGGAGGAAGACCCCTTTGGGTCCAACTCCCAGAGAATGGGTATATGAATTTGAGTGTTTATTTGGGTCAGAACCTTAAACTGACACAGGTTGAGAGTTCCATGCTGGTGAGAAGTAGGCCCCGCAGGAGGGAGCATTTCCACACTGAGGAGGGAGAGGAGGGCTGTGAGCTCCCAGCATGCAATCCTCTGGGACCCCGGGGCTGCATCTCAGCTGGGAGAGTCTGGTGGGTAACCTTCTGAATGGGGAGTTTCCTTGGGACTGTGGTGATGCAGGCTGCTTATGTCCGTTTTGTTTCCTGTATACAATTTTGCTACTGTATAACTCCAGTTTGCCCACGTTTTTAAGAATTTTACCCGTTATTAAACTGTGTATGATTTTTATTTTATTGGTTAAAAATCTGAATGGATTGAGTGATAAGTTCTGTGGAAGCCAAGAGAATTCTGGAAATAAAATAATGTTTGATTTATGCTAAGTTTAAGTTATAATGATTTGTACACCCGTGAACTCACCACCTGGGTAAAGAAATAGGCCTTGAGCGGATATTCATTTCTCCTGGTGTGTCTCCCTGACATCATCTCCCTCCTGACCACTGTCCTGATTCTCTTCGTTATTCTTTATACCTTTACCTGCTATTATTTAGCACCAGGCAGTGTTTTACTTAATTTCTGAACTTAGAGTAAATGAATATTACCATCATTATGGAGTCCCTGGATGGTGCAAACTGTTAACATACTCGGCTGCTAAAAAAAAGGTTGAGGTTCATGTCCACCCAGAGATACCTTTGAAGAAAGGCCTGGCAATCTACTTCTGAAAAATCAGCCATTGAAAATCCTATGGACCACAGTTCTACTCTGATGTATAGTTTTGTCTTTCACATTAAATCTACAATGGCTTCATACTTGTCCGCTGAGTTGTAAGAAAAAGATTCATTCTTCCCTGTGATAACCATTTGTCACTGTCCCAGGTGTAAAGTGTCCATCATTTCTCCTTCGACCTGGCAATATCTGCTGTGTCGTTGATCCACATACCATAAAGAGGTGGGCTTGTTTCAGAAGTTTCTGTTCTTTTCCATTGGCCTATTTGTCCATTCTCTCCTAATACCATGCTGTCCTAATTACTGTGGATTTAAAAGTGTGTTCAAAAAAGACACTTCACCTTAATCTGTAGAAAAATCTCAGCTTTTCTTAGACATTTGTCTTCCATTTCAGTTTTTATTTTTTTTATTTTTTATTTTTTTAATATTTTATTGTACTTAAGGTGAAGGCT